TTGTTAAAAAGCTGTCTTTTTAACGAATCAATTGACTAAAAATCAATTGACCAAATGATAAACATATATTCCTGGATTTTCTTAGATTATCAGAGGTGGGGAAAGGGAAGTGGGAGGGGAATTAAGAGAGGAACTGGTAAAGGGCCACAAAAAGTGATTACATTGTATAACATTGAATATATTTACTATCATGATGTCAGCCTCACATATTGTACACAGGTAATGATATTTTACTCTATACCCCACAGATATGTACAATTAATTGGAAAGCATTTTTGCAAATGATACATCTGATAAGGGGCTCGTCAGTAATGTGTAATATGTAATGAACTCTTACAACTCAACTATTAAAAAATAAAGCAACCTATAATAAAACAGAATTTAGCATATATGAAATCTACACATTATTATTATTGTTGTTGTTGTTAATTATAACTCAATAAACCTGGGGAAAAATAGCAAAACAACCCAATTAAAAAATGAATGAAGGAGCTGAATAGATATTTCTCCAAAAATGTACCAGGGGTCAAAAAGCACATAAAAAGGTGCTTGACATTAGGCATCAGGAAAATGTAGTTAAAACAACAATGGGATACCACTTTGTAACCTTTCAATAGATACAATAAAAACAATGGAAAATAACGAGTGTGGTAAGGAGGTGGAAAAATTGGAAACCTCATACATTGTTTCTGAGAATGAAAAATGATGCAACAGCTTTCAAGGATAGTCTAGAATGTATTCCAGTGAATAAGGATAGAATTACCATGAAACCTAGCATTCATTCCTAGGGATATATCTCCCAAAATTGAAAACAGCTGTTCAAACAATAACTTGTACATCAATGACAATAGCAGACTATTCACAACACACTATTTGTAGAAACAACCCAAACGACCATCAAATGATAAATGGATCAAAATAATGTGGTGTAACTCAAAAATAGAAGTTTTCACTGTAAAAAGGAACAAAGTACTGGTACGTTCTACAACATGGTTGAGTGTTGAAAACATGAACGTAAGTAAAAGAATCCCAATACAAAGGGCCACATAGTGTATAACCCCATTTATATTAAATGTGCAGAATAGCAGATCCATATACAGATGGCAGACTAGAGGAAAGGGGAAATAAAAGAGAATACGTATTGAGTTTCCTTTGGGATGATGAAAATGCTCTGGACCTATGTAATGATAAAAGTTGCATAACATTGTGTAATAATGCATTAAATGACATAGAACTGTACACTTTAAGATGGTTAAAATGGTGAATTTAGATTACGTACATTTCACTTCAACTTAAAAAAATATTAGAGGTGATAGGCCAGATTTGGCCTAGAGGTCCCAATTGTCAGCCTTAGGTTTATACCATAAGTTTAATTTCTGCATAATTGAAATAAGAAATGCTGTTATTTTCATCATTTACATTTGAAACATGTTAAATTTTAAAAATATATTAGGTAATTCATTTCAAGGACAAATTTATCATTGAAATTTTCTATACTTTTAATAGTGAAAATGTTTAAAGCAAATTGAATTTTTCTATATGCAGCAAAATACTGTTTTTAGCCCTAATGCATGTTTACATGTTCATCCTTTCGACACCACCATAAGGTAGACAATGCTATTATCATCTCTGTTTCACGGGAGGGGAAGCTGAGGCATAGAGACTTTAAGTAACTTTCCAGTCCCACCAAACTCTGTAGTGGTTTGGCAGGGATAAGCCAGGCTAACTGGGTCCAACTTGCCAACTCCTAACCACCATGCTATGCTGTCCTCTTTCTGGGTTACAGTTGTTTTCAAAATGTCATATTAATAGTTTCTCATTTTTTGTAGCTATATATTAAATGTGATATTATTACAAATGTATAATTAAAATATGCAGAAGTAGTGTTCTGGTTTTGTATCATTGCATAACAGCCTGCCCTCAAATGTAGTGGCTAGAGCAACAATAATCTCTTACAACTCCAGCTTGGGTGTGGTATGAGATCAGCAAGGTGTTCCTCACACGTGGTTTCCCAGGGGGTTGGGATTATAATCATCCGAAGGTCATTCACTCACACACCTAGTGATCGGTATCAAAAGACTCTACTGGGGTACTGAACCAACTGAAAATTTATAGGCATATTTATGTATCTCTCCACAAAATAATCTATTTATTATGTTGAATTTGGGTATGGCACAGGCTGCTGTGTGAGTAGAGAGAGAGGAAATGAGAGGGAGTGAGAAAGGCACAAAGAAATAAAGGAACAGAGGGAGAGACAGAGAGATAAAGACAGACGTTGGGAGAACATACAGCCTTTACTCACAGAGTTTTAGAAGTTAAGCTGCATTATGTCCACTGCATTCTCTTTCTTGAGACAGCTACAAAGTTTGCCAAGTTTCAAGGAGAGAGGATATGACTTGTTGGGATGATTGGCAAAATATTTGTAGTCATGTTTCAAAACCACCACAGATACAACCTTTAGAAGTAACCGGCAGAAAGCGTACTGCAAAATTCATTAAATATTCATATCAAAACAAGTTAATATTGTTAAAAATTGTGAGCTTTTTGTTTTTACTACTTTTGAAAATTTTAATTAACATTTTAATATGCACATTCACAGATATTGTAAATATAGATAGGTGTCTTACAAAGGCTGAAAATTTAATAAAAATAGTTTATCCAGTTTCAGAGCATTTCAAATGTTCTGAACATTATGAATGGATAACATGATACCACAATTTTGAAACTTACTATCTTAAATGAATATGTTTATTTCAATAATTAATTTTTAAAGCACATAATTATTATGTGAACACATTATTGTAAAAGGTTAGTGAATGAAGTATATGCAGTAAAAATTAAATTCCAGTTACAGGTAGTTTTGTGTATTCTTTCAGAGGTTTTCCTCTTAGTTTATACAGTTTATACAGTTTTACATGTATTTTATTTTATTCCAAAGAAAAGTACCATACTTTTTTTCCCTCGGACTTGTTTTTCATTTAGCAATTTGGCATCAAAAGCATACAATAAAATAGTTTGTGATATACCTATTGTCTTTATTGGCTGTATACTATCGTCTGATGGAGGTATGTGTGTTTATTGACTGATGGCCATTTAGGTGCTGGTGGGAACATCATGTACATACATGTGCTCATGTGCACGTATGACCACATGACTGATTTCTAGATCAAGAATTTTAGGGTCAAGCAGAAAGTTTAAATTTTTTAAAAAGTTTATTCCACATTTACCTCCCTCAGAAATAGTTTTCTCATATTCTTACATTTGACCAATTTTCTGTGGGAAATAACTTGTTGACTTAATGTCCAATTACCTAATATCACTTACTTTGTCATGTTTTATATATTACTGGCCATGTTTTTACTTTGTAAATTGCCTGTTTGTATTCTTCATTTATTCTCATATATGTCTGTTTGTCTTTTGATAGTAGTTCTCACTATACAATGAAAGCAAATCCTTCACCTGTTACATCCATTGCAGGACAGGTTTCATGAAAACTAATCCACCCTTCTATGCATCATTTAATAATAATATCTATTATGACACTATGATCACTCTATTGTTCTTTCAAATGTGTCAATTATGTAGATAAAATGCATAAAAATTTGGCTGTAAACTCCTTCTATAACTATCCTAAGCATCAAAGTTTTAATTTATATTAAAAATAAGTATATGCGTTAGATTGAAGAATGTTGTGAGACTTGTATGATGTTCTTCTTATCAATAAAGACAGCTAAGTTTTTGTCAACCTGGACCACTATGATCATAAAGTGCTTCCATGATTTGTAGCTTTCAGGGGGATCTTGAGAATCCCTTGTGGTCTGATTTACCCATTTTCCATAAAATCATATTTGTATCCTTTGTATTGCTAATAATCATGGTCAATCACACTGTGCCTAAGTTTGAAATAAAATGATGACTGTATAACTTTAGTCCTGCTAAAGGACTTAATGTTTTCATATTAGGGTAATGCGAGGGAAGGGACTATTGGCTTCTGAAGAATAAGAAAAAATTAGACATGTTTAAAGTATGATATGTAGACAATAATAATCATTATTTCGAAGTGTCCTCATGAAGGATTGATTTCAGAACATACCCATAAGGAATGTGATAAGTGATGCATTGTCTTGTTTAGAAAGAAGTTGATATAACTACATTTGGAGAGAATGAAAACTGTGTAAGTTCCTTAAGAGCGCAGGTCCTGTATTACCACAACCTGTCATTGAGACCTTGGATCTTTATCAAAGGTTGAAAATAAGAGTGAAAGCATCAAGGTCAATATTCTTTATGGGCCATGAAAGAAGCAAAATAAGGAATTGAAACAGATTTTTCCAAGTAGCTCAATTTTACAATAGGAAGGAGGCAGGAGTCATTACATTTCTAACTTCACATATAGTCAACTAGGAAATGACTTAAGCTAGAAGAACGTAAAACTTCCTGCCATGTCTTCTAGGCAAGAAGTGACACTGAGGCTGGATGATACTGTACAAGCCAAGCAGTACTACTAGTCTCCCAAAGCAAGGGGAAGGGTGAGTCCTTTCATTCTATTCTAACTCTTCAGTGTTTTTCAGTAGAAGTTAAACCTACCAAATTCTACATCAAAATGAAGTAACAGTTTATTTATTCTCAAAACAATATTATCACTGTGAGCGGACTTCTTGATGTTTTGTGCTCATGAACAAAGTGTGTCTAAATCATAGGTTTTAGATAAGTTTTTGGTATAACTTGAGAATTAGAACAATATATGTCAATATAAACCTATGTAGTTTTAAAATTATTTCTCCCCACATTCATATTTCTCTTTGGCAGAAAATAGGTGTAACTTTTAAATGGGTAGTAAATACTGTGTAAACAAACTTTGACTTGATAAGCTAAAACTGCAATTTTGTGTGTGTGTGTGTGTGTTTCATGAGGAATAGCATCTTACATCATAACATCATCTGCTGTAATTAACTGGAGGAGTCCCATGTGTTAGGTGTCCCAGGCTCAGACCTCAGATAAAACTATTCCCTTTTTTCCTTCTTTCCTGTTTTAGCAAACTTCTGACAACACAACAGACAACACTTGGTGATGGCAAATATCACAGTTGCCACACAGGCCAGCAGGAACCCAATCACATCCAGAGAGTGGTACTGGACCCAGTTGAGGTCGTGGGCTGCAACCCGAAGGTGCTTTGCTCCTCTGTGGCGCATGACAAACTCAATCCAGAAGACTATTCGATCTAGAGGCTTTGTGGGCTGATCGTGATTAATTCTTGATAACCTCATAATATTTTCTTTATATCTGAAGGATAAACATAAATACACCACCATTGAAAAGAAGTTCATTTGCCTAAGCATATCAAGTCCATGAAAGGTTTTTGAAAAATGTCTACAAATGATTCAAAATAAATTTCATAGAATTCTTGTTAAAGTTATATTTTTTTGTGGGGTCATCATAGAAAGTTTGGTTTTTCACTGTAATTTTCTCATTGACAAATATTTTTAAAAGTGAAAATGGAAGATCAGGAGGAAACATTAATTCCTTTGTATCTGAGGAAATATGAGCCATTCCAAATGCTATAAGTAAGACAGTGGAAATACAATTTGAGAATGATCATTTCAAAGTTTTTCAGAACAAATTGTGCCATGGTGGATAAAATGTCTCCTAAACAGTTTCTCTGCTTGTCCTCTTCTCCTCTTTCTTCTAATGTCTATTTTCCAGTCAGTAGTCTGAATGATTTTTTTTTAAGCAAATGTCAGACTATGACACTTCCCTGATCAAGATTTCGGTCTGGCTTCTCCTCACATTAAGAATAAACTTCAGATCTGTCCTTTGGACTACAACACCCTGCATGATCGGACACTGGCCACATCTTTTCCTAACATTTTCCCCATGAACACTCTTGTAGGGACACTGGGCTTTTATTGCTCTTTTAAGGTACCAAATTTGTTCTCCCTTTATCACCTTTACACTTTTTATTTCCTCTCTCGCTCTCTCAGAACATTCTTCCTTGGGACACCCCAATACTTGGCTCTAACTCTTTTTGAAGCCTCCTCTTAAATGTCACCTCTCAGAGAGGCTTTTCCTGGCCACATCAGGATAGCACTCCTAGGATTTCCTCTATTGTTTTGAGCTTATGTTTTGACTATATTCCTAGAATTTTAAAATACATTGTATCATCTAAAATCAATTTTTTAAGTATGTAAAATGCAGAATATAAATGTACATACACTAGGTGAACAGCTCAAAATTAATCATGAAATGAAGAAACCAATGTACCTACTACTCAGATCATGAGATAGGGTGTCACAACCTGCCTAGTATTCCCTTCCTGTGGAGCATTTTAGTCACTTTTCCTGTCATCAAATTAAGTATTATCCTGTCTTCTAACACCATAAAATAATTTTGTTTATATACTTGAATCATATAGTATGTACTCATTTGTATTTCTCTTTCATGTAGCAGTTGTTGGTTAATTCAATTACTGTGTAGTCATCCACCGATTGACAATGCCAGAGATTATCTCTTCATCTTATTATAGATTCACTTTTGGGTTGTAAATTATTTCTGAACATTACTAATAATTCTGTTATAAACATCCTAGTATATGTTAACAGGATTACCTATGTATACATTTTTGATGGGTATATACCTAAGAGTAGAATTGCTGAGATAAAGGTGTATATATGTTATGATTTTCTTGTTGACCATGAATTTTTTAAAAGTCTATTTAATTTCAAAAATTGAAGGGTGTAGTGATATATGTATATATATATGTATATATATATGTATATATATATGTATATATATATGTATATATATGTATAATTTTGGGGGTGATTTTTAATTTATTTTCTGTACAGCTAGAGTATACACATATTTTATTATTTTGAATCTTTTCATGTTTACTGAATCTTGATTTATGTCTCAGCATGTGGCCAATTCCAAGCTACTATTTCATATACGCTTCAAAAATGTGTATTCCGAATGGATGGATATATACATGTATGTACAGATATATGTGCATACACATATGTATGAATGTATATATACATATATAGGAATTATTTCACATAGGTTGCATTTGTTATTTGTGTTCTTCAAACTTTTTATGTCCTTACTCATTATTTTGTCTTATTTTTAAAGTCTGTTTAGATTTAAAAACTAGTCTATTCACATTTTGATACCGTCTTATTGCAAATTTTCTTTTCTTTGTCCAACCAGTGTTATGTTTATTTTCCAATTCCTTCTTGCCTTCTTTTAAAGTATTTTTTTTAATAATTCATTGTCCTACAATATTCCTCTTGATAAAGTATTTTAAAAGCATTTGTTTAGGTGATACCCTCCTCATATAATATTGACAATAGTAGTAAATGCTTAAGTGATGGTAGCTTTTCCAGGCATGGCATTTTCCACAACATTTCCTTTGGAGTGTGGACAAAATTAATTATTAAAGTGTTATTTTAGCAAAATTAAAAGCTTTTGTGCTTCTATGGGCATTATTATGAAAGTAAAAAGTCAATCCATCCAGAATGGGAGAAAATATTTGAAAATCATGTATCTAATAAAGGATTGCATCCATAATGAATAAAAATAACTTTAAAAACACCAATAATATGAGAAACAAATGAATTTTTAACAAAAGACAAATGACTGGAATAAATACTTCTTCATGGAAGGTATATGAATGGCCATAAGTGAGCAAACAGATGCTCAAATTTTAGCCTTAAAAGAAATGCAATGGAGTCCTCAATGAAAGACCATTTTATACCCTTTAGAATGGCTGTAATGAGACAGATGATAACAAGTGTTGACAATAGTTTAGAGAGTTTGGAACTCTCCTGTAACGAATGGTGGTGGTAATGAAAAATGGTGCAAGTACTTTGAGAAATAGTTGGGCAGTTTTTCATAAATTTAAAGTTCCCATATGACCCAACAATTTTACTGCTAGTATCTACCCAAAAGAAATAAAGGTATATGTTCAAACAAAAATATGTATAGCAATGCTCATAATTGCCAAAATTAGAAACAACCAAAATATCCTAAACTAACAAATGGATAAACAAAATGTGATGTATTTATATTGTAATATATTATACAGCAATATAAAGAAACAATGTACTGATATGCATCAACAACATAAATGAAACAAAAATTAGTAAAGTTAAGTGAAAGAAGCCATTTACCAAACACCATAAGGGGTTTGGATCCATTTATATAAAATAACCAGAGAGGATAAACTATAGAGGAAAAAATAAATAAATTAATATTGGCTCATGACTAGAGGGTTATGAGGAGTGACTTACGAGCCATTACAAGTATCTTTTGACATGATAAAATGCCCTAAAATTATATTATATTATTGTGATGTCCTCATAACTCTATAAATATTGTAAATATATTTGGATTTTGTACTTTTTGAAGGTGAATTTGTAGGTGAATTTTATGCTATGCAAGTTATATCTCATTATCAAATCTTTCAAAATATTATTAATAATAAATATGAATTTTTGAAGAAGAAAAAAAGTTTTGGAAATTTTAGGTATTGAATTGAAATATTTTGATATATTTCTTCTAGTCCCTCATCCCTTTCTGCTGTGGATTCTATCATATTTTTAAAACTGTGTTCTTTTTATAATTTTCTGTGTAAACTTAAAATTATTTTTGTGTAGAAAATTGTTGCACTAGCTGGTTACCCATTAAATGTGTGGGGCCAAATACAACTTTAAAATAACTGTTTGGTTGAAATTGAAAGTAGATTTCAGATTGGTTAAATTATGTATATTTCTTCTAACTTAGTCTGTTAAAAAGGGGCACAACTGATACACACGGATGACCAGTGAACCTATCGATAAATACTACATAATAAAAAAAAGGTACCATACTCACAAAGGGTCATTAATGACTGTCTTCAATGCGTTGAGCATATCTGTACTTGACACTGTGTCAAAGTCCAGTCTAACAGCTGCTCCCTTGGCCATCATGCGGGCAATGTTATCAGGTTGATCTGCAAACAATGGCATGCCCACCATAGGCACCCCATGGTAGATCGCCTCATAGACGCCGTTGCCTCCGCCATGAGTTATAAACGCTTTGGTTTTTGGATGACCTAGGATTGGAAGAATTTTAACAAAATCATTCATTATGTCTTAGAAACACAGTGAGAAATGCATAGTATGAGGCTGTAAAAGTGTCTGTGCTTTCTACATACATAAACAGATTATTATAACCATGAACTGCACTGAAATTACTTTCATGTATCTCAGAGGAAGAAGCACCTAAGCCCACAGGAGTGGTAAGTGAAGATTACAAAAGGTGGTGTGTATGGAGGTTCCTCAAACAATTGCAGATAGATCTACCATATGATCCAGCTATCCCACTGCTGGGAATAGACCCAGAGGAATGGAAATCATCAAGTCGAAAGTACACCTGTTCTCCAATGTTCACTGCCGCGCTATTTACAATAGCCAAGGGTTGGAACCAGCCCAAGTGCCCATCATCAGATGAGTGGATACGGAAAATATTTTATATCTACACAATGAAATACTACTCTGCTTAAATAAGAATGAAATACTTCCATTTGCAACAACATGGATGGACCGAGGGAGAATTATATTAAGTGAAACGAGTCAGGCACAGAAAGAGAAATACCACAGGTTCTCTCTTATTCGTGGGAGCTAAAAATAAATAAATAAATAAATACACAAACTGTGGGAGGGAGGGAAGAAGACACAACAATCACAATTCCTTGAATCTGTTACTACAAGCGAACAAATATGAAGTTGTTAGGAGAGATGGGGGAGAAGAAAGAGGGAAGGAGTTTACGGTAATGGGTCATAATAATCAACCACATTGTATATTGATAAAATAAAATAAAATAAAAAAATAAAAAGAAAGAAAAGTTGGTGTGTGACTAGAAACTTGAAAAATGAGTACAGCATTGCCAGGGGACAGAAAAAAGCATATACTGGATGAAAATAAAATCAAAATGTGCAAAACATAAAATAAAATAAAATTAAATAAAATAAAGCATGTAAGAACATGTTCTCTTTTTATTGCAATGTATTGATTTATACATATTTGTGGGATACAGAGTTATACTTCAAATCTTGTATGCTATGTATGATGATCAAATCAGTATCATTAGCATATTCCTCACTGAAAAAATTAATCATTTCTTTGTGATGAAGACATTTGATCTCCTGTCTTTTAGACATTTGATAATATGCAGTAAGTATTGTTAATTATAGATCCTAGCTCGACTGTACAAACATAGAAACTATTTTCCTGTCTAGCTGTTTTGTGTCCATTAACTGACTTCTCGCTACCCCTGTCCCCATTCCCCTTTCCTGCCTCTAGTAACCACAGGTACGAACACGTTCTCTTAAAGGAATAGTGAAGTCACTGAGTCTGATATGTCAGGTGTCCAAGCAGCCGGAAGTAAGTGGTGGTGGTGCTAGAATCAGAGGATGAACAGGCTACACTTCATTATGAATGAAATGTGTTATCACTTCATGATAAAGATGGTGGATTTTTTCCCATAGAAAATGTAGTCACCAGTAATAGAAAAGAAACTGTTATTTGTCAGTGTCATTTGAAATAACCCTGCAGTAGGGGAAAGGATAAGTATAAAGTCCTAGAAGTAGGACACAGGGAGAAAACTAGGAAGTTACTGAAAAATTCTCTGGGAGATGGAATTATACCTGAAGTAAAGGTACTTTGATTGTGTACATTAAGTACATAGCTGTGTAAAATAAAATGCCAACTGTTATAGGTTACCCTTTTTCCCCTAGAACTGGAAAATAAATATAAAGAAGATAGGCTGTATCTCTGAGTTTTTCAATAATAAATGTTCAATCAATTTGCCTCCTGTTGAACTATCTTCACTCTATTTGGTTATTAGTCATATTTTCAGTATTTGTTCAACAGAGTCTCACCAAGAAGGTCATTCTGAGGGATCCACTTGTACAGTCGAGTGTTGGCTCCTAAAGTGTCTGGTTTCTTACCGTCAAATCTCCATATAACCTGTTAGGTAATGAAAATATATTGTTCCATGAGTGGAACTGTAAAGTTATTGCATGTTAGAACTCTAAAGAGATTAACAAATCATCCACTTACAACACCTCGATATAAAGAATGAAGAAATGAGTACAAGGGATGTAAGTAATGAAAGCCACTAAAAGTCTGAACTAAAGAGAATTCCCACATTTCATGTAATTACTTACATAATAAATTGGAAATGTAATAAAATTATGGTGTTTCAAACATAGTAGCTTAGACAAATAAGACTATCAATAAAAAATTCAAGTGTTTAAGAAATTGTTAGGAAGCCATTATAATTCTAGGGCGAAAAACAGTAGCACTTTAATAATGTCCTACACAGTTTTTTATATTTTTTACTAGCTGCCATCTTCTGTATTAGTCCATTTCTGTTGCTTATAACAAAATATAGAACTGGATATTTTATAAAGAAAACAAAATTTATTGTTTACAACTTCTGAGCCTAGGAAGTCCAAAGTCCAGGGAACACAGCTGGAGAAAGTCTTGGTGGTGGTGACAGTGACTACTGACATTGCAAGATGGTGGAAGTAGAGAGAGCAGAGAGACAGACTCTTCTCTCTCTTGTTTTAAAGCCCTCAGAACCATGCCCCTGACCACAATTTTTAATCCATTCACTACTTCACTGTCTTACAATCTAATTGCCTCTTCAAGGCTCCATCTTTCAGTTACCATAATAATATTTCCCACACTTTTAACAATCACAATGGGGGCCAAGTTTCTAATACATAAAACTTTGGGGACACAATTCAACCTTCAGTAAGTTTTGTGGGGACATAATTCAATCCATTATGTCTTCCATAGTTAATATTAATCTCTTTTTTTCATTTTGAGCAAATTGGGAAGTAGCTCATTTATATCTAGTTGTTTCAGGAATTATACTCTTAGAGATTGACATTTTTTTTATTTACAGAAAAAATGTCTATGTAATCAGCTACTTGTTAGAAATAAATCTATGCCACAGAGTTAGTATTTATAATTTATTTAGATTACAAATTATTAAGCATTACTTTGAAGAAAAATTTAAAGTGGCAATTTTTGGTACATACTTAGACTTTTATCAATATTACTGGTTTTGAAAATTTTTTCAGTGTAGAAAATAAAAGCACATTGGCAACTCATGAATAATAATACGACCACTGAAAAAATCCATAGTCATATGTTACTTAAATTTTCTTCAACTGATCATTAACAATTAGATGGTGCATCGCAAATTATTGGCAGCAGTGATAAATATGGTCTGCTATAGCCATACCATTTCCACACCCAGCAACAAAATAAGTTACTGAGTTTGAATTCTAACACAATCTTTATAAACTGGAGTTATCATTTACAGATTTTTACTTTCTATTTGCTATAGGAGTATTAAAGTAACATCACATTTTCAGCAAAAATTTAGCGTGGCTCAGTAGGAGAAAGCTATATCAGATAGGAAGCCAAATAGGAATTCACAAATACACAAATATCACAGGTGTATTCTATATATTAAAAAATAAGTTCCTACTATATTTTAGGGAAGGGAGCATCTGAACTTCTTCCCATACCTGGCTTCGTTCTGTTTGACACTTTCTTCTAATCCCCTCTCCTTCCTCAATCGAGTGGAAGTGTTGATCTGAATCATAGCAACGCAGTCCTTATCGGGCCACATTTTATAATGCACAAGATCCACTTTAAGTCGAGGATCCTACCTTCACTCTTATTCTTACATCTTCCTGCTTTTGACATTGGTAGGGCCCAGTCCAGTAGGGCAGGCCATTTTTAATCTATCTTTAAATCTGCCTGGCTGCATGTTTACTTGAAGTAGTGGTAGGTCAACCCAGGCCATCCTTTCTCTGAATAGACCTCTGAACAGCTGTGAGGAAAATAGAATAGTTTGGTTAGGCCCCCTTGCCTTGGGTCTGGTTTGGGGTGGTGCAGCACATTCTTTGTAAACAAGTTGTGTGGGGATGGAGTTAGTGCACATGCACACCCATGTATCTTTTATAGTTTGTTGCTATTGTGTGTTCTTCAGAGTTTGTGAAGCAATAGCTGACCAGCAGAGAGTTCGTGTCTAAAAATTCAGCATGTTTACATTGCTGGCATCTGCACAGTTTTTCTTTGGACTTTGCTGGTAGCAGTTGAGTTTCTCTTTGGACTGCCTCACTCTTAGAAGTGTGTGTGTGCTGAATAAAGCTTACTGTTCCTTCAACCTAGGCTCCATGGACCTTTTTCTTGTTACCAGGCTCATAGACCTGTGTGTGAAGGGTTTGCGACCCAGTCCAGCCAATGGGCTTGTGAGGTCTGTGAGCTCCAGAACCAGCCCTAGCTCTGCAACAGCACACCAGGTAGGCCTACTGCAAAATTTACAGGAAGTGCAAGATGCTGGATTATATGGTAACCCTAAAAAACAAGATGCAGTTCACACATTTTACAATACATGATTATTGTTATTTAACTAGCATAGTTGCTCATTAAAATTTAAATATTTCCTGGTAACGTCTAATGGAGAATATGGTAGGGCAGAATCTGGGGATTTCAGTGTACCTGACCAAAACTTCACCTGTATCTTTTAAATATACATCTATTTCTTTCTGAACACAACGTCAATCTCAAAGTTATTATCAATGAAATACATCCTCTGTACGATTTTATTATCTTCCATGTATATTTTTGTTTTTTAACTGATATTGGATATAATTAGAGCTATCCTAATAGTTAATCTTTCAGGTAGAAAGTTTCTATAGTTAGACCATTTACACAGTTTACAGGACTCATTCAGTAGTTGACCTCCCTTAAGTCAATTTATCTAACCTTTTGCGGAATCTGAGCAAGAGCTGATGCAAACACATTGGCCCTTTCTTCTGGCATGTTACTGATCATCGACCCCAGAGTAAACACCACAACACCATGTTCTCCAGAGCTCTGAGCAAAGTCCTCCATTTCCTGTAAAAAAAGAATTTGATCTATCATACACAAAAGAGCAGCAGCTTAGCAAACACTACTGAAAGTATTGCTACAAACATCTAAAGAGAGAAAACAAGGAATTATTGGAGTATTGGCTGTTTTTTAACTGACATTCTTTCAGTTTCTTAGAAAGGAGATGTGTAATATGAGAAAGTGGTCTCTATTATGCATATTTGTATAAGTGTGTGTGTGTGTGTGTGTGTGTGTGTGTGAGTGTGTAAGGAAGAAAGAAATTAGAGCTATTTCACAGCTGTCAGGGGAGATAATGTTAGAAATTATTATACTCAGACACATCATTTATATTATAATTAGTAACACAGGTTCATGGAAGTTGGCGCCACTTGACTACAGTTCTTTATATTGGTAGTTCTACTAGATCACTTGTATTTTCTTCAGGCAGGTTTTCTTTTGAATGTCTTTTCAGTTTGGAGTCATTAGTGTTCTACTTTCCTGAATATGAGTACTGAGGAAACATTACTTGCAGTGGGGATAATTTTATGTCTATATTTCTCTTAGCTATGTAATCCTTTATACCTCACTTAAAGCTTGTCAGAATTTCCCAGCCTCCCTCCCACCCCAACACACACACAAACCTGTATAAGCTGGAGATTAAAACTCACTGATATTCAAGAGTCTGGTATTGTGGTTTGGAATTGCTGTGAAATAATCCTGAGAGATTCATTTTTAACACAGAATTACATAGGCTGCAGTTATTTAGTTGAATGTTCATATTTCTTAGGTTATTGTTTATGCATGCCACTTTTTTGTCCTGAAATCACACTGAAAAATTGACATCGTAGTAGCAGATGCTGTGTATAACTGGCTCTGAGGGTCCCTCATCATCACTGCATTGTATCCCACAGTGGGAAAGGTCCACCAGGCCTTTCTCAGGGGACACCCCCTTGAGTAGCTCACTCACACTATATAAATATCCTGGTAAAACTGTGTTTCCCTGGAATTGATTTGCATGTATTAAGAATTATGGTTCCCTATCTATGCCAATTTTTATATTTAAGTTTATTCTATACAAGACTAATTCTGCATTATTAATATGTTCTCCCACCAAAACAAACAAACAAACAAACAACAACAAAGAAACAAAAAGGAAAAGAAATACAGAGCAAATATTTTTCTGGAAACAATGTCGAATACTATGCTGAATTTCCTTTTATTTTTGATTCATTATTTGATGTTTTCTTTCTGTAAGATCATGACCAACTTCTTCCAGTGTGAAAAGTACCCTTTCAGATACCATAATTGTTAGAGGGTAAAACTTCTTTTTAAAACCATTGTTCACAATATAAAGAAAAAATTTTACAATGTTTGTCCATGCAGACCATATATTACCAAGTATTTTTCAAAAATATAATTTTAACATTATAACATTAGTTTTAATATGAGAGTTACTGTACTACTATTTCAAGTAGCATAGGAGCATCCAGTTATTCTGTGTATTTCCAATTATCCACAGCCACATTTCATGTTCAATGCTTTGTCTCACTGGTTCACTCCTCAAAGCCTTCTTTGTCTCCCCAGTAGTGAAGTAATACAACCTCTGTTTACAGATGCATCACTGACATGGACTGGTTGTTCTAAATTTGTGAGATCTTTATGAAAATAATGTAATGCCAATGTTAAAAATTTTGTAACAGTATGAAAAGTGTAAAAAAGGAAATAAAGTTTACACACACTCTCTGTCTAAAGATATTATTGGATTAAAATAAATGTGCTTTCATCCTGGTTTTTATTCTACTTATATAACTCAACTTATACATGTAACATGTATCTAGAAAACTTTAATCCTCTTATATACACTTTCCATCCTACAGCAAATTTGTCACCTTGATATATTTATCATTTTGCCTCTCAGGTTATAAGTAAACTTATATAAGTATTATGGCTAACAGTGTAATTAAAATTTTTTGGATAAAATGATTGTAATGGAATAGTATGCACATAGTATAAGTTTTTAAGCTTTCCTTAATGTATGATATTTAGATTATTTCAAATATCTAGTTTTTGAATATCTGCCCTAAATATTGAATCTGCACATATTGCTTTATTTTTTCTCTATGTAATTTTATATATTTTGACGTGAATGGCTCTATGCATTTATAGAATGCCTGATGCATTTTGACAAATGTCTTTTTCTTGTAAAATATTCAGAAATTTTCTGAGAATCTAACACATAATGGAAAAGCAAGTAATTTGGGCATCAATTACTTTATATACTAAAGAATTTGAGGAAAGTTTTCACATCTATTGACTTGGATTCAAATATCATTTCTGAAATTTAACAGCAGCTAGTATTAGGAATTACTATTACTGCTATTCATTCTCTTTGTCTGCCTTCTTATTTTACTGTCTTCTATGTCCCACTATCACTATCAATTTGCCTTAAGGAAAGTTGAGAAATCTTTCAAGAATAGGGTTAAGTCACATAGAATTTTTATTAACCTCAGCGCAGCTTTCATCCCTGCGGAAGTTACTATAGGTAATCTCAACAATTTGCATTCACTATAGCCATTGGGTTTAATTGTTGAATAAATCTCAGTTTTTTGTTGCTTCTAACAGGAAGGTAAACCAAAAAAGAGTCTCTTAAGACATCATGTAACAGGGTAGTAAATAATGTTTACTTTGTATTTATGACTTAAAAGTGTGATATCATTTAAAATATATTAGGTTCTTGTGTTCCTCCATAAGGAATATTATCCTATGGGTTCACAAAATTATTTTCTAATATTAAAGGAAATGCTGTTTTCGGTTAAAGTTGTGGTAATTATTTGGTCTTTATTATATACATAGATCACATTTTTCTGTTCGGCTTCTGTCAGGCAGCTATGAAGTTGAGGCCCAAGTTCCTCAAAAGAGCTTTACAGAGTCATCCTACTGTCACAGTATAAGAGAAAACACACCTGCTCCAATAGAGTAAACCATCCCTTTCATGCTCTAAGATGTAACTCACTGGGATTTCGGTGAGCAATTGTTTAAATGCATGAGAGGAATCTAGTAAAACTTGGTTTGGCTCCCAATGTTTTGGGTGCATACATTTACATTGTTGAGAAATGGTTCTACTTTAAGGAGGAATACTGGTAAAGATCCTCAACACTTACAATATTTGTTTAGCATTTCAACTTGCTCCTATGACTCCAAAACTCATATATCTACTTTTAAATAATTCTACATGATAATTGGTCTCTTTTACAAATAATTGCTAAAGAATGTCACCTTGATGTGTTGGATAAGGAGTTCCTATTAAATGAAGAATTATATCTCAGTTGGCTGGCACATATTAGGTAATTAATAATATTAGCAATATAACAAGAAACAATAAGTACAAAATTAATAATATTTCTAGATCACTGATTATGTGCTAGAAACATTTTAAATATTTTCTTGTATTCAATAGTTTTTTCCCTACATAATACAACATAAAGTTAGTGTTACTATTGTAAAAGTAGACCTACTTATCTCTTTCAACTTTCTTATTCATTTTTCCACCATTTGTTGCCCAAACTCCTACAACAATCTTCAAAATAGTACTACTTTCCAGTGTTGTCCCATTTCAGCCCAATCCAGTGAATGCATCTTGAAACCTTTTCAGGAAATGAAATCTCATCATATTTCTCCATTTCTAAACTATTTTTACTAGGTCCCCAATACATACCTTTAACAGATAGTTTGAATAACTATCTGGCTATAACATACTGCTCCAGCATCATCTGTCTCTTTACTTCTTCCTCTCCTCCTCTTCCTTCCTCTTATTCCTAAAATTGTTCAGGTTTAACTAAATGTCAATGATTCAGGGTCACTTTGCATAATCTCTTCTGGAGGCTTCCTTAGCATTGTGGTCTTTCCTTATGATAAAACTTTATCAAACTTTTTTTTTTTTTACACCTGCCTATTGTCTGTCTTTGAAAGTAGAATGCAAGGTGTGTGGGGGCAGAAACTGTCAACTTTGTTTCTCAGAATATCCAGCATTCACCTCTGGAGTAAGCGAGTCACTTTATAAATTTTCTTTGAATGACTGACTGATAGTTTTTATGTTTTGAGTAATGAATAGCTAACACTTATGTCAAAGTATCCAAGGCATTCCTCTTTACTTTATAGTGATAATGAAATCCAAATACTTGTGAATTATGACTTTCTAAATGGAGATCATTTTGCCCCATTTCTGTTATGTCTTTCATTGTGAGTGAGATATTCTATATGAAGAATATACAGTTATTCCCACTAAAAGTGCAAAGCAAACAGAAGAAAACCAACAGATACGTGTGTCATTACCTTAGGAAGGGGTTTGGCTGGTTTGCAATGGAATCCTCCCACAAAATCAAAATTTGGTAAGAGTGGGCGAGGAAAATCAAAATCCCAATAGCTTCGAATTAGCCATATTTCAGCTTTTGCCATTGTCTCTAATAACACAGTGGGTCTTCCTGAGGGGAAAAGAGATAACAAAGAATCAATAACACAAGAGAATTGTTACATAATATACCAGGTAATTTCCTGAAAGAAGTAGAATAATGTAGACAAAGTATCTGTTTTGATAAAAAAAAATGCACATATATTTATAAAATTTTATTTTCAGGTATTACATATGTTGCATATATATATATATATATATATATAAATAAATGGGAAAGTGTTAGAATTGTGAGAGGAGACCACTTTTCTAATGTCATATCAACATATTCACAATCATGAACAGTTATTACAATAAAGGAGTAAAAAATTAAGCATGCATTTGTTTACTCTCTACAAATGCAATAATAACAGATATACACTTAAACAATTCTTTCAGTTCCACAATACATTAATCCTACCGTACCTATATAAATGACATCATTAAGAAGAAATCAATCTAGCTTTTACAATTTGTCAAGCTAATAGTTTGATCTTTGGTTCTTCAACTGAACTCATAGTTTTCTTAGAGTATGACTGAATTTTTTGTACTTGTTGCTGCTTTTGGTGCATGTTAAGATCACAATAATATTTTTAAAGTGAACATATTTGCAAATGACCATTGGAACATTTTACGGATTTATAAAAATAGATTTGTGCTCACCCGTAATTTGGCTCAATTTTCCTTAATGAAGAGACACAATTTAAAAAGGTAACATAATAACAGGGATGGTTACACTTCAACAATATCTTAGGCCATAAAACAAATGATTTTCAAGTCCTCAGTGAGGGAATGTAGCAATATTCCCTCAAATTGAAGCCTCAAATTAGACCTTTCTGCGTCTTGAATGAAGCCCTTATACCTCTCAACTGTGAGCGAATCTTTCTTGTAATATGAGAAAATATTTCAGTTTCTAATTAAGGAAACTGAAGTGTACAAGAAGAAACAATTTTCTCAATGCCTCATAAATAGTTGTGCTAGAAACGTGTAACTCCTCAATCTACATGTTTCCATTCATCAAGATGCATCTTCATGTATCTAATGACTTGTTTTAAAGAAGAAAAAACATATAGTAAAATGGATATCTGATTGCTTAAAGAAATCCTAAGAGCTTTCATTTTTAGGGTTGCGACTTCCTGGAGTATCCTGTCATGTGATGTCCACAGGATTCTAACTGAAGCTATAATGTCAGCCTTTCCATAATGTTTGTGAGATTGATACATCATCTTATATTTCCATGTCATCATTTCCCTTAAAAAACACACTCCTCTGACTTTATATTTATACAACCTCACCTTCAAAGGCATAGGAATCTTAGTACTTCCCAACACTTATTAAAGACATTACTTACCTAGTACTTCACTGTAAAACTGATCCCACTCCTTCAGATTAAATGTCTGGAACCAAAAGTTAAAATAAAGGGCAAATATCATATTTTTTATCCTCTCCATGAATGTCATCTGATTATGTAATTCTGAAAGAATAATAGGAACATAAGAAGGAGGGAATAGAAGTCCTCCACTATGCATTTCCAGTGAGTATCCAGGAGAGAAGCGGAGACTGTACACAAAGGGTATTTTAAGTATCTCAGCCAGCAGCTCACCACAGGGACCAATGGCATCCGCAAAAACAACATCAAATTTTGATTCTTTTAGTTTTCTCATAAGTTTCGTGTTCAAAACTGCATCTTTACACATATTTCTCATACAGTCAGAAAAATCCCACATGATTTCTTGCATTTCTGAAAGATGTAACCAAATTCTGTCTTTTGGAATACGTTCCCATTTTTTGACCACCATCAAGACAAATGCGTCAAAAGCATCTCTACTTAAAGATGTAGGATAAACTTCAAATTTAATAGTTGATGTCTTGTTTGGATCAACATGAATGGAAGCTGAAGATGTTAGCACAGTCACCTCATGCCCTCTCTGTCCAAGTTCATCCAGGATTGTCTTCATATTCATCCAATGGCTGTATTCTGTGGGCCACACCAGCACCTTTCCACAACTTCCAGAGCTAAAGTAACAACTCAGTTGTAGGAGCAGCAGAACTGAATTCCATTTCATAGACATACTGAGCAATGTAATGCTTCTTTTTCAGTTTCTGTTCCTCTCCATCATTCTCATGCTTATATCCAAGAAGAAATCAATCAAGAAGTTAAAATGTAACTATAGGACTCTAAGTAAATACATTATATAAATAGTCTGAGCATGAAGATAGCAAATGAACAAACTGAACCTATGTGATCACATGCTTACACAAGTGTGTTTAATGTCTCTTTTGTGTTTATAGGTGATATTCAGCTAAGACCAATGACCTTGCATGTACCAGTCATTTGCCTTATGCAATATAATATGTCAATACTGGCAAGTGAGAGACTCTCGTGTCCGTTGTCTACCTGAGACAAAACTAGAGATAAAGCAATTATAAAGCCAAATCAGCATTGTTTATATTTCACGGTTTAAGGACATTTTTTGGTAAAACATTGTTGATATAATTCAGTAATCCTGTAATTCACCAATTATGGTGTAAAATGCAGTGCTTTAGAGTGTATTAATAGAATTGTGTATCCACCACAATAATCTGTTTTAGTGCATTTTTACCTACCCAGAAGAAACTCTGTATACTTTAGTCTTTATCTCCCCAACTGAGTATCTCCATCCCCTCTGCCCTGAGCAGCCACCAATCTAATTTCTGTCTCTATAGATTTGCCTATTCTGAATATTTTTTGTAAATGGAGGCATGCAACACAAAGATAAATCAAAGGTTTCATGGAAAATGAAATTAAAATATAATGTAGATCTTTCCATGAACTTTTTGAGAACCCCTTGTATATGGTCTCTTGTGACTGGTTTCTTTCAATGAGATTTTTTTTTTTTTTAACAATTCATCCATGCATAGCATATATCCAGAGTTTATTTCTTTTGGTTTCCAAGGAGTATTCCATAGTAGGATATACACATTGTACTTATTCATTCCTCCATTGCTGGACATTGATTTTTCTCCAATTTTTGAATATTATGGTTGATGTTGTTTAAAAATATTCATGCGTAATCTTTGTGTGGACATGTTTTCAATTCTCTTGTGTATGTACCTAGAAGTGGAATGGTTAGGATTAAAAGTAGATTAAACTGTAGGTTTAATGTTCTCAGTAATTGTTAGACTATTTTCCTAAGAAGCTGCACCATATTCCATTCCAACCAGCAGTTTCTGAGGATTGTAACTTTTTGACATCTTTGCCATCATTTGTTTTTACATGTCTTTTGGTTATATTCATGGTAGTGGGTATGGAATATACTACAATGCATATGAACTTTACAGGGTCTGGTTTTCCAAAGCTTTGCAGTTTCAAATACTGACCTTGCAAGGACAGGAAATTTTCCTCAGGCTATAAGTCTCTGTTGCAAGATAAGAATTGTGGCACAGCAGGTTGCTGGCTCAAAGACAGACTAGTTACTGATTGTTATGTAAAGATACTGAGAAATTGCTATCAGATGGAATGTTTGCTAAGATCAAGCTTTTGTTGATAAGGCCACTAAATTGCCTTACTGGAATGTCATCTGGCTTGTTTTACTGAATGTTACCAGCATATATTGTTAAACTATAATCCCACCTTTGTTCTCTTCCTGTAACTTCCTGGTCTGGAAAATAAATACTGGAAGAGAACCCCAATTTGGGGCTAATTTCCCAGATGGAGGGGTTGGCTCTCGCTTGAGCGTTCCCAGGGAAGTTAACCACTTCGGGGCTTCTCACTGCTCAGAAGAAATGGGCTTTGAGTAATCCTTTGCATCTCTTTCACCCAGGGGAAGTGGGGTGACAAATCCGTGGGGGGCAAAGCAATGCAAAGCAACAAGTGGGAATAATGTGGTAGTCCATTATGGTTTATATGTCCTTGATGTTGGGATTTGTTTCATGTGTTTAATAGCCTTTGTATATTTTTCTGAAGAAATCTTTATTTAGATACTTTGTACATTTTTTACTTGGTTATTTTTCTTTTTCTTATTGTAGTATATGTATTTATATAGAACTTAATAATAAGTTTACATGTTTAGATACAACATGTTTAGATACCATTGGATGTATTATTTCAAATATATTCTCCAATTATGTGGGTTATCTTTTCACTTTCTTGATCATGTCATTTGAAGCAAAACAAAAGTTTTAATTTAGATAAATTCCAATTTGTCTCTTTCAATTTGGTTGATTTTGCTTTTAGTGTCATATTTAAGAAGCCGTTTCCAAATAGAAAGTCACAAAGATTAGCCCCTAAGTTTTGGTTTTAGAGATTTATAATTCAAGCCCTTATACTGTTTGTTTGTTTTTACCTATTTTGAGTTTATTTTTCATGGTTTGAGGTAGGGGGTCCAATTTCATTCTTTTGCATGTGGATAATCAGCTTTCCTACCATCATTTATGAATAGACTGTTGTTTCCAATTTCAGTTGTTTTGGAACCCTTGTCAAAAACCATAAATGTATGGGTATAAATCTGGATTCTAAAAATTATTCCATTGTCTATGTCTCCCTGTATAGCTATATTGCATTCCCTTTTGTTTATCTTCTCAAGAAAACAAATTTTGGGGGTCTCCATATTGCTTTGTTCTTCTCAGGTCTTAATTATTTCCTCTCAGTCTACTAATTTGGGGATTCACTAAATATATTTTCAACGTCTCTTCCTTTTTCCTCCCCTTCTGAAACACCCATGATTTCGATGTTTGTGTGCCCTTGAATATATATATGAATTTTAGAATCAGCTTATTAATTTATGCAGAGAAACCAACTGGGATTTTGATCCAGGTTGCATTAAATTTGTATATCAATCTGGAGGTAAAAAGTATGGCCACTACAACAATATTAAGTGTTTTAATCCGTGAACATGAGATGCTTTTTTGTTTATTTAGTTATTCTTTAATTTCTTTCCACAGTTTTTTATACTTTTCACAGTTCAAGTTGTACACATTTTTGTTAAATTTGTGCCTAAGAATCATATTGTCTTTGATGGTATTTTAAGTTTGTTTGTTTTCTTAAATTCATTTTGGATATGTTATTATAATTACTTAGAATTTTGATTGTTTTTATTTACCTTGTATTCTAAAAACTTGCTTTATTTGCTTATTGGTCCTATATTTTTCTAGAAGATTTCTAAAGATTTTCTATCAATGGGATCTGTCATATGCCAACAGAGATTGTTTAACTTCATTCTTTCCAATACAAATATCTGCTCTTTCATTTTCTTCCCAATTTGCCTTGCCCAGAACCTTCAAAACCATGTTTCATAAAAGAGATAGAAGTGGGTTTAGTCTTTGTCTGTTAAGCATAACTTTAGCTGTTTTTTTTTTTTTTTTTTTTTTTTGATGCCATTTACCAGTTTGAGGACGTCCACATGTATTTCTAGCATACTGAATACTCTTATGATGGAGGGTTTTGGATTTTATCCTCCTATTTTGTCCATATTTATTGAGATGATTATGCAGCTTTTGTTTTTTATTGTAATAATATTTTGTATTATATGAATTTATTTTTAAGATGTTCAAACAACTTTGCATTCTCAAGATAAGTACCTCCCTGTCATGGTATATAATCCTTTATGTATGTTCCTGAATTAAGTTTGCTAGGATGTTGTTGAAAACTTTTGTCTGTAATCACAAGAGATAGTGATCTGCAGTTTTTGTGTTTATTTTCATGATTTGAAGAACTGAAAAGTGAAGCCGTCAGAACTGTGCTTTTCTTTGTGGGTTGAGATTTGCTAATGGATTCAAGCTCTCATGCTGTTATAGGTCTATTCAGATTTTCTGTTTCTTATTGAGTCTATTTTATAGTTGTTTTACTCTCCACCTTCCTATAGTAGAGTTTCTGTCACACTGAGTTGGGAACCAGTGAAAAATCAGGTCATCATTAAATGTTAAATTCTCTTATTGTTTTTACCAATTCTTAGTCAATTGTTTTTGAATAGATATTACTTTTCATGCTTTATATCATGAGAACAATTTCTGGACATTTTAAATTTTATGGCAAAAGTAATTTTTAATGCTAATGATGTAATGAACTTGTAACTATTTCACATTTAAGATGCTGAATGCTATTATCCAAACTTTTAATAAGTTAAGAGTCTTAATTTAAATAGAAATATTTAGGATATATTCTGATGGTACATATGTACTTTCATCAATTCAGCACAGAGGTATCTTTTATAACCTTTAATAAATTTATATATACATATATTGTATAGGAGGAGTCTTTCATAAGTTCATGGAAAGATTCATATTATCCATCAATTCCAGTTTTCCATGAATTTTTTGAAGCATCGTCATATATATAATGCATATATTTATGTTAACAGGATCACTTAATATGTGATATACTATTTTAATATATTTAGATAGTGTAATACACTATTGTTAATTATAGCCACAATATTGTAGAGCAAATCTCTAGAACATATTCATCTTGTGCAACTGAGACTTTATATTGATTGAACAGCAACTCCCAATTTCTTCCTGCCCTTAGCCACAGGAAACCACCGTTCTACTCTCTACCTCCATGAATTTGACTAATTTGGATACCTCATGTAAGTGGAAGCATGCAATATTTGTCTTTTCGTGACTGGATTATTTACCTTAGCATTATATCATCAAGATTCATCTGTGTGTCACTTACAGTAGGATTGTCGAGTATTATGGAAGATCTATTTTTAATTTTTTGAAGAAGCTCTACACAGTTTTCCATAGTAGCTTCAACTTTATATTTCCATGGGCAGTGTACAAAACTTCCAGTTTCTCCACATAAAGCAATTATTATGCTGTGTGTGTTTGTGAGTCTGTTTGATTTATAAAGGCATTTGAAGAGGTTTGAGGTGATGTCTCATTGTGGTTTAATTTGCATTTCTCTGATAATTAGTGATGTCGAGCATATTATCATATGCCTGTTGGCCATTAGTATGTCTTCTTTTGAAAATGTCTATTCTGGTCATTTGCCAATTTTTTAATTGAATTATTTATCTTATTTTTTGCTTTTGAGTTATTTGACTTTCTTGTATATATGAGATATTAATCTCTTGCCAGATGAATACTTTTC